TTGATCCATGATTCACTCTAAATAAAGTTATATATTCTCATTCAAAATGGAATTTAGTTATCTTTAATGAAAGAATTTATCTTATGCTACTGGTGTTTTTGCTTCCTACTTTTTTGCAAACAAAATAACTTTGAAAAAATCATGTTTCATTCCCTACTATTGACCAGGAGCTATAGAGAAGCAATTTTTAAGAGTTATAAATGATTTCTGATTTATGAAATTTACATTCCAACCCAACAAACAGAAAATGATAATACAGTGGTAAAAATGCTATGGCTGGAGAATTAGAGCATGCTATGAGAGTAAGAAGGAATTGTGGAGGCACAATGGTTAAGTACTTGGCTGCAAACAAAATGATCAGTAGCTCGAATCCACCAGCCACCCTGCAGGAGAAAAAACCTGGTGATCTGCTTCCATAAAGAATACACCCTAGGAAATTTTATGGGTTGGTTCTGCTCTGTCTTATAGGGTCACTATGAGTTGGAATAGATTCCATGGCTCACAACAGTAACAACAATTTGAGAGCAAGAGAAAGCCAATTACCCTGACTAGAGTAATGTGAAGGTGGGAGAGAAAAGGGGAGACTTCAGATTATTTGACCTGCAGGAAAAGAAGGATTTATTTATATTTAGATAAAAGGAGTAGGAAGAAAGTGTGTTTCAAAGAGAAAAGCATGTACACACATTCAGAGCACACCAACATTGAACTCACTGTCATTGAGTGGATTCCAACTCATAGCAGATCACCTCATCTTTCTTCCATGGAGTAGCTGGGGGGTTCAAACTACCAACCTTTTGGTAGGCAGCCACGTGCCTTAACCACTACTCTACCAGAACCCCTATTCAGAGCAGAGAGAGAGCAAAATAAACATTCCAAAAAAATGTTCAGTTTGGCTTAGCTGGAGAGAAAAAGATGAGGGATGGGTAAGAGAAATAAGCAGTTTTAATAGTTTTAAATATTTTTTGACATTTTCCAATAAGCAATGGGGAAATCACTGAGGGTTTTACAAAAGAAAATAATGTGATGAAATATATTTGCATTTCAGAAAAATATACTAACCATTATAGAACAGAAACAGATTGGGAGAGTCATGAGGGGAGAAAAGGAAGCATCCAAATCATCTAGATAATTATAGAAACTCCCAGGAAAGTGGGACAGGAAATGGGAGAAAAATGACCAAATCCTCAACACTTAGTATTCAGGAAGGAATGGAAAGGATTTGATGATTAATAAAAACAAGAAGTGAGGGAGAAAGAAAAGCTTCACAGCTGCTTTAAAATAATGCCTACTTTATCTTACTCTTTAATGAAACACTGAAATTTACCACAAAGAATGTTTTATCATTTATGTAACAAAACATCTGATGTGCATGTGACTGAAGATCTTAAAAAGTTTTGAGAATCATTTGCTTTATTTTATAGTCATTTATACAGAAAATGACCATTTAATTACTATGCAACTAACCTGATTATTTCAGCAAAATTTTAAAAATTTTATTCAATCTGTATGCTGAGAAAAATTTTATCCAATCTGTATACAGACAGATAATCTGAGAAGAATGAAGCATCAGGTTTAAAGGAAGACTCATTAATAACTTGAGATGTGCAGATGGCACAATCTTGCTTGTTGAAAGTGAAGAAGACTTGAAGCACTTAATGATAAAGGTCAAAGACTACAACCTTGAGTATGGATTACACCTCAACATAAAGAAAACAAAATCCTCACAACTGGACCAAAAGCAACATCACTATAAATAGAGAAAGATTGAAGTTGTCAAATATTTCATCTTACTTGGATCCACAATCAACAACCATGAAAGCAGTAGTCAAAAAATCAAATGACATTGCACCTGGCAAATATGCTGCAAAAGACCTCTTTAAAATGTTAATGAGCAAAAATATCACTTGAGGCCTAAGGTCCACCTGACCCAAGCCATGGTACTTTCAACAGAATCATATGTATATGAAAACTGGACAATGTATAGGAAGACCAAAGAAGAATTAACACACTTTAATTGTGGTGCTGTGGTATTAAAATACCATGGATTGCATGGACAGAAGAATGAACAAATCTGTTTTGGAAGAAGTGCAGCCAGAATGCTCCTTAGAAGCCAAAATGGCCAAACTTTGTTTCCCCTACTTTGATCATGTTATCAGAAGGGACCAGTCCCTGGAGAAGAACTTTATGCTTGGTAAAGTAAGGGGCCAGAAAAAAGGGGAAGACCCTCAGCAAGATGGATTGACACACTGGCTGCAATGATGAGCTCAACCACAGCAATGATTGTGATGGTGCAGGAACAGTTAGTGTTTTGTTCTTCTTTATATCGGGCTGCTATGAGTCAGAAGCTCTGGTGGCGTAGTGCCTAAGGCATTTGACTGCTAACTTGAAGGCTGGTGGTTCAAACCTACCAGCCACTCCTCAGGAGGAAGGTTGGGCAACCTACTTCCATACTGATGCCACTTTGGAAAACCAAGGACGGGTCACGATGAGTCAGATCCAACTCGACGACAGTACATTTGGGTTTTTGGTTTATGAGTCAGAAACAATTCGAGGCCAACTAACAACAACAACCTAATCATAACATAAATATCTACTTTAAAGAAAAGTAGCATTTTAAAAAATCAATTTGCAATTATGACATGCAATTTCTAAACCACCACCACTAAAACAAAAAGAACTAAGTCAAAAATATATAATAGTAATAAAAATTATATAATTTTCTAACTTTCTAGTTTCTTCATTAACACATTGTCTCACTGAAAGGAAAAAAAATGTAATATGATTTAAACATTAGTAACTAAAGCTATCTATTGATTTTGAGGAAAAAAAAAAAAGAAAGAATTTAAAAGCATTTCAAACAATGTTGTAGGGTCAAAATAAATGATGAGCCATAAATGCAAGCCACTAGTGTGAGCCTCTTTTATAATGTTAAATTTTCTAGTAGCTACATTAAAAAGAGGAAAAGGAACAGGTAAAAGTAACTGTAATAATATATTTTATTATAACTCAATAAAACCAAACTTTTGTCATTTCAACATATAATCAATATGCAAATTATTAATGAACAATTTCACATTTTCTTTCTGTACTACATCTTTGAAATCTGGTGTGTAATTTACACTTACAGTACTTGTCATTTCAAATGTAGCCAGTGGTTATCCTACTGGACAGTTTAGCTCTAGATAAGCATAGAGAAACACCCAGAGAATGTTTGTTCTCTTACTTGTCCCAACAAGCTTATGAGATGCTCACAAAAAGGAGATGTACAAACCAGTTGAATACTTGTTTTTGGTTTATAGATATGTCCTTTGAGGTAGATATTTAAAATTAAGAAAGAGTACCTGCAAGTTGAAATTTTGATGATGAGATAACAGTGGTCAACAAAAGTATTGAAAAAGGGCACATGCATTTAAAATTCCAAAATCTCAAAATACTTTTAAATATCAAACTTCAATATATCTAAAATAATCCATGTAAATATAATCAGTTAATTTTTAATTTAAACATCTCTGGGCAGCTACTTCACATGGAAGGAGCAGTTTTTTCTAACACCAGTAGTTTAGTAAATCCATGGCAGGAAACTGCAAACCAGTTTCCATCTTGATTTAACGCTGTTTTAAGTTTATAAGAAAAATGTCACTATGTAAACAACAGACATTTTGATTAAACACTAAAGTTCTTATTTTGGCTGTTAAATCAATAATGCAGCTGGATTGAAAGTAGTTTACATTCCCTCAAAACTGGGCATCGGTTCAGCTAGTATTGCACTGACATCATTTTCCAGTAAGATCTGGCTGCTTTCAGCAGCCAGTTTAGAAATATCCATTGCAAACAACCACATAATTTTCAGTGTTAACACATTTCAAGAAGAGGGTCTCACAAACACCAATGCTTAAAATAGTAAAGCCAACCAGAAATAGTCTCTCTTCTAAAGTATAATTTACTAGTAAAAACTTTTCATGTAATTTTAACAAGCGTGTAAGACAAAGGCTGTTGGTGACACAATTTGTATTTTGCTTCACCTGAAACTGGCTTTGGAAGGTTTCCTACTGTCCTTTCTTTAGTAAATCAATTAATGTGTAACTCAGAGAAATACTTCTAAATTTGTTTGGTGACAGAACACCTGAAACTCATTGTGTTCTGTCCTAAACAACAAGCTCCTTGGTAATCCATTGCCATTGAGTCAATTCCAACAAATACTGATATTATTTTGTCATATTACACAATCTAGAAATACATCACAAATATAAATAAGATTGTATTATATGCCTAAAACTTGAAACCACAAGTAACAATTAAAAGAAAGGCAGACGAACATAATGCAATAGGCCATGTTGGTCTTTCAGACAACATTAATTTCTGACTTGCATATTCAAAGTGAGCAACCAAAAATATACCAAAAAAACCAAACTCACTGCCTTCGAGTTGGATCCGACTCACAGAGACCCCTCCTTGGGTTTCTGAGGTGGTATCACTACAGAAGTAGATAAATAGATTGCCCAATCTTCCTTCCAAGTAGTGGCTGGTGGGTTTGAACAGTCAGCCTTCTGGTTAGCAGTCAAATGCCTTAGGCACTACACCACCAGAGCTCCCAATCAAAAATATGTTGTTGTTGTTGTTATGTGCCATCAAGTCAGACCTGACTCATAGCGACCCCTTGTTGGGTTTCTGAGGCAGTTATCACTATGGAAGTAGATTGCCCAACCTTCCTTCCAAGGAGTGCCTGGTGGGTTTGAACCACCAGCCTTCTGGTTAGCAGTCAAATGCCTTAGGCACTATGCTACCAGACCTCCTAACCAAAAATATGGGAATCAAAAATGTTAAAATGTACTCAAGACCACCCAGATACTTATCATTTTATGTGAATTAGAAAAAGATCACTATGATTTCATTTCAGCTACAAATATTCTTTTCCAGCTGTTTGAACACAGGCATTTGAGAGGCTTTGTTGAAATACTACTAATTCAGAAATTTTAAATATAGGACCTCAAATTTCTTACCTGTAGAAATTCTCTGACATTAGATCCCAAGACACGTAAGATTGTGTCGTAACCAGATTCTTGACAAAAGACAAAAAACATCTTCCCAAACATTTGGAGAATTTCTCCTGCATTAAGATCTATATTAAAGGTTGGAGAGAAAAATACATTACAGATGGGAATATTGGTGAAGAGAAGAAATTTAAAAAAAAAAAGAATGACATTTAAAATAATTTCAAACTCTCAATTTTTGTGCAGATTGGCCAGGCGTCCCATGAAGAAATCTTTCCATGACAAAACAATGAAAGTAGGGAAGACAACATATGTGTTAATATAAACTTATGCCTATAAGCAAAACAATCAATATCTCAGGTTCCAAGACAAACTAATTAATTTTTAACTTTGTAAAAAAATATATTTTAAAGTATTTCTTTTTTTTTTGAAAAAGACAAATATCTTTTAAAATCATCGAAGAACACATATAACTATTAATACATTTGTGCACCTATCTTATTCCCGTTTTTTCTCTATATAAATTTGTGTAGCATGTAGTTTGCACTCTAATAAACCAAAACAAAATTCACTGCCATCAAGTCAGTTCCGACTCATAGTGACCCCTCCTTGGGTTTCCGAGGCAGGATCACTAGGGAAGCAGATGTCTTGGTCTTCCTTCCAAGAAGTAGCTGTTGGGTTTGAACCACCAGCCTTCTGATTGACAGTCAAATGTCTTAGGTACTATGCCAAATAGCCTGTTTTATTTCTTAATATCATATGATTAATATTGTTGTTGTCCAGTCAGCCCCGACTCATAGATACCCCTCCTTGGGTTTCCGTGGCAGTATCACTACGGAAGTAGATTGCCCAACTTTCCTTCCAAGGAGTGGCTGGTGGGTTTGAACAGCCAGCCTTTGGTTAGCAGTCAAGTGCCTTAGGCACAATGCTACCAGCGCTCCTATATCATTAATATTTCCTAAAATTTTAAAATAATTTCTGTAATATATATTTTAGGAATTATTTTATTCAACTTATGAATGTAACAATTTATTTAATACATTATTGAAAATGTATAGTTCTCTAATCAATATAAGTAACTCTGTCATGAAAACACTTAGACATAAATCTTCATGCAAATAAATCTAATAATTTACTTAGTAAGAACTCCTAAAGTGTTTGAATTTTAAAAAAATATATATCTTTAACTCAGGTTGCCAAATTGTTCTCTGAAGTTTGTCTATTTACCATCATATTAAAAATGTGCTAGGCTTCCTTTTTCACTCTGCCCTCAACTACACTAGATAGATATTTAAAACCTGCCAAATTTATATGAACAAAGTTAATATATTTGTTTGAATTTTGACTACTGAGGTTCGATATTTTTCTTCTTATTATTGACCACTTACAATTCTTTTTTATAATTCTTGTGTTCTACTATGGATGTATTTGTTTTTCTCAGTATTTTTGACACCGTTAAAAATCTTCAGTCTTTCATAGACAAACTATAACCTAGTTATAAATTAAGTGCTATTGAGAGAAGTTTCAATACTATTTTTAGAACTTTGTCTCCATGAACTCTTTGAACTTTGCATGAGCATTTTCTAATGCAGACCTCAGTTTCCTGTTGTCTTTACCAGTAGCTAACAAAAGTTGTGGTTGCAAAAGAGATTTGAGGACAGTATTTTTTGCATACTTGTGTGATTACTGAATTTTTGACACTTTGACTAAAGTTATTACAAAGAATATCAATATTTATTATCCTTCCCTCATTTGTGGCTTCTGGTGAGGAAAGGATAGAGAGTATGTTTTTCCTTAAAAGCTTATAAAAAGAAGAACAGAAGTCAGCCCTACCTGAGCCTAACAGTAGATGTGAATATCTTTCCTATCAGGACTATTCAGAACACAACCTACAGAGCCACATAACATGACCTAGGGCCATGCACACTGGGGCCAGAGAAGGAAAGCTACATCCAACTTACTGAGAACTTTGCTTGCTGCAGCAACCAAATCATAAGTTTTGGAATCATCATATATTATTCTGACAAGAAATTGTCCTTCTTCATCTAACTGTGCTTCTTTCCTAGAAAAAAAAAGGAGAAAATGGGAGGAATAGCTGAAATAAAACAATAGCTACTCTAGCTACTTTGATTACATAAAAATGGGTTTATATTTGAAATTAGTTTTGCTTTTGGAAAATTTGTTTAAACCAACATCATGTACCTAAAAATAATATAACTATTAAGTATATATTAAGTCACATCTCTCTCACTCAAAATTTAAATGCTCTATTTAAGTATATATTAGTAAGACTCACATTTAATTAAATTATACTTATATAGTATCGTATTACCTATCACAATACCTGACACATGAAATACAATAAAGAAACAACTTTTGGTTTAATAAGTAAATGTTCAGCAACTATTTGTCGAGTCCCTAGATGTGCTATACATTGTTCTAAGGACCAGGATACAGCTGTTAACAAAAGACACAAAAATACCTGACTTCTTTGAACATGAAGATTCTAGGTGGAATATAGATTAAGAAATAAAATTCATTAGTAAATATATATAATGGTTGTTCTGGTTACCTAGTGCTTCTTTGACAAGAATATACTACAAATGGGATGGCCTTAACAAACAGGAGTTTATTCTCTTACAGTTTGGAGGCTTTAAGTCCAAGTTCAAAGTGCCAAGCTCTAGGGGCTATGGAAAAGCCCCTCAACCTTGGGCTTCAGCTTTGCCTCTTGCACCTGGCCCAGTGAAGCTAGAGGCATCTCTTCACTCAGGCAGCTACTGGCTGCTGAGGCTAACAAGCCCAAAGTCAACAAATAAAAAGGCACAGTGCCAATGTTACCAAATCAAACTCCAGGCCATTAATTTAAGTCCATTGTAAGTCCCAAGGTCGGCAGAGCATGGTAGGCTGCTGAACAACAAAATGGCTACATTCAGCGTCCAAGCATGCCATAGGCTAGAGACCATTCCCCAAGGCTTCTGCTTATATACAGGAAGCAGATCACGTTCCCTAAGACAGCTAGCTACTCAGCTGCTTGTGGTAGATCCCATCATGGAGTTGATTGCCAGACTCATCATGGGGAATAACTACCACCAGCTGTCCAGCCACTCAACCAGGTCCAGCCAAGTTGACATGCAAACATAACCACCACAATGGTAAATACGGTGAAAGAAAAATAAAGCAGAGTTAAAGGAATGGGGAGCTCAAGTATAATTATCAGGTAGGCCTCACTGAGAAGGTGGCATTTATATCATATCTGAAGGAAGTGAGGGCATAAGTCATGAGCAATCTGGGGCAAGTGAGTTCTGGGCAGGGGAACTGAAGTGTGAAAAGGTAGGTGGAGCCTACCTGATGTGTTGGAGGAACAGTAGACACAGTTTGGCTGGAACAGAAAGAGAAGGGAGAATAGAAGCTATAAGGGAATGAGGTCAAAGAAGTAACAAGGGGCCATATTGTTTGAGACTGGTTGGACTCTGGCATTTAGCTGAAAAAGATGGAGGGTTTTGACACTTGTGATCTGAGAGCTGATATGAATTGACTCAGGTTAAAGGGGATCAATCTAGTTGCTGTGTTGAGAGTGGACCAAAAGGGTCCAGGGTCAAATCAGGAAGATTAGTTAAGAGGCTACTGCAAGCATTTAGATGAAGGACGCCAGTGCCTTGATATGGAAGTAGAAGCAGTGGAGTGGGTGAGAAGTGCTTAAACACTGGATGTTTCAAAGGTGAATTCAACATGATTGGCTGATGGATTAGAGAAGAAAAATCAAGGATGACCGTAAGGTTTTTGGCTTGAGCAACTGGAATGCCGTTGTCATCATCATATGATTTGGAAAGACTGTAGGAGTGGACTGGGGGTGGATGTAAGATCAAGAGTTGTGTTTTAAACATATTAGGTCTAAGACGTCATTAAACAGATTAAGTTTGAGATGTCAAGTGGATAAATAAAACCTTCAAGTATATCCCTAAATTATTAACCCCAGTAGCTAAAAATATGCACAGTGGTCAGGAAAGGAAATTATAGTGTTTATAGTTATCATGATGATATAAATGTATTTATTTTGATAGACTGTAGATTACTTCTCTGAAACAAGGACCTGAAATGGAGGTGGAGGAGTATGATTCTTTGTTCAAAATATAGAAGAGAGCTGACAAGTACCTAGATATCTTTCCCAATAAATTTACAAAAATACATGAAACTTAAATATCAAATTCCGACTGTCAATGCAACTCATCCCTATGTTGCCAAGAAAATGCAAGAGAAACTAACCACTATAATTAGGTGAACTTTGAACACAGTGGCTTGAGTAATTCGATAAATATTGCTAAGGCAAGAAACAACCATTTTCTCTGACTCCCTTAGAACGTGTGCTGTTACACCTGCCACTCATGTCTTCTCATGAGAAAATTCCAAATGGGAGCATATCTTAGTTCTAGGTGGAGGAAAGGCTTCTTAAAAACATCCTGTGTTCTTCAGAGCAAAACGTTTATTTGCCTGTAGTGCCTAAGGCATTTGACTGCCAACCAGAAGGCTGGCAGTTCAAATCCACCAGCCACTTCTCGGAAGGTTTGTTGTTACATGCTGTTGAGTGAAACCTGACTCATAGTGACCCCTCCTTGGGTTTCCAAGGCAGTATCACTACAGAAGTAGATTGCCCAACCTTTCTTCCAAGGACTGGTTGGTGAGTTTGAACCGCCAGCCTTCTGGTTAGCAGTCAAGTGTCTTAGGCACTACGCTATGAAGGAAGGTTGCCCAATCTACTTCCGTAGTGATATCACCTCAGAAACCTAAGGATGGGTCACTATAAATCAGATCCGACTCCATGGCAGTGAGTTTGGTTTTTGGTATGCATAATAGTGCATGTAAAGAAAAAAAGCATGGATTTGGTACACAGGTGAACTAAATTTCAGAGCCCATATTTTACTAGGTGAACAACTAGGAAAATCATATGAACCACATGAGCAATAAAACCTATCGTTTCTGAAATGGGTGCAATAATATAACCTTCCACAATGGTAAAGAGGTAATGTATTGAAAAGTATGTTCCAAGCTGTTGAACATATATGCATATTACTATTAGTGGTGTGGTTGTTCATTGCCATCACATCAGCTGCTGACTCATGGCAACCCTTTATGATGCAGAGTAGAACTTCTTCTTAAGATTTTTTGGCTATAATCCTTATGGGAATAGATCACCAGCCCATTCTTCTGCAGCACTGCTGGGTGGGTTTGAGACTCCAACCTTTCTTTAGGTTACCAGTTGATCACACTACTCTGCTAGTGACTACAAGACTTTCTATATAAAGATAAAAGAAAATTATAGAGCTATATACTTATGACATGTGAAATTCTCCCTTTTTCCAAACACACACAGCAGGTGCTATCAATCAAAGGAATACAGCTCTCTAAAGATCTCAAGCTTTTTTTTAATACTAAAAGTCAGTGAGATATTCCAAAATTATGAAAATATAATGTAACATTGACTTACCTTTTATTAAAGCTATTACATATGTCACACTTTATAATTCTAACTTTAAAAATATATGGACAGGAATTTTTGAAAAATTATTTAATCTCCCATTATCCTGCCATAACCACTCTTAAAATTATATTCACATGAACATGCTAGTGTATATAAAACACATCACATCAGCTTTAAAACTTCCTTTCTTAATATTTGATATCTTTTCATGTCAATAAATATATTTCTAAACTATTTCTGCATAAAATTATATTATGTAGATATTGAAATCTTGGTGGATATTTAATTTTTTTTATTTTTTTTCACAAGTATGAACAATGTTGTCATGAATATCCTTGTAGGTGATGATTATAATTCTGTATACAAATATACTCTGGTAGCACAGTGCCTAAGGCATTTGACTGCTAACCAGAAGGCTGGCGGTTCAAACCCACCAGCTACTCCCTGGAAGGAACGTTGGGCAATCTACTCCCTCAGTGATACTGCCTCGAAAATCCAAGGAGGGGGTCACTATGAGTCGGGTCCGACTCAGCGGCCCATAACAACAACAACAACATACAAATAGAATAATTCCTAGAACAGATTGCTGATTTGAAGGATATGGATATCTTAATGTTTCCCATGTGCCAGTAACATTTTACTATGAAATGGCACTGGTCTACAATGTTATGGCCTCTGTCTTACAACATTCTAATACTACATGTATAATAAAGTGTAAATTAGTTCATGCTTTCACCAGGCCCTCTTCTCTTTCTTCCAATAGGAATAAATCAAATTGCATGAATTTCTGTAACAAACTCAGTTTTGATAAAAAATTCACCAATCTATAGCAACAATTAAATGATTGAGGTATAAACAAACTGTACAATCCTTCTGCACAAAAGAGAGGAAAAGCTATTTACCAAGAAATCCCCTAACCATAAATCACTGCATTCCCTCTTTCTCTTCTCTCTTTTTTGTAAACTAAGCTTATCTTTTAAGTGTTACTTCCTGAAATGATCGACCCACTGTGCTCCCTGGAAGAGGGCTGAAATAGAAATTAAACAGTAGCACATAGAAGGAAATAAGCATCTTCTCTTGATGATTTCACACTGGATTCCACCAAATTATTCAGAATATTAAGGACTCTTTATTTACCTTCAACTAAAAATCCTTAGAAACTTTGAATCTTTGTTTATTCATTTTGTTCATTCTTTTTATCACAAATATTTATTATTGAGGGCCTACTGCGTTCCAGTCACTTCTCTAAGCACTTGTATAAATGAACAAAACAGATAAGGTCCCTGCCTTTATGGAGCTTACATGTTAGCTGGTAGAAATAAGCATAATATACAACTGCATTTTATGTTTACTGAGGTGATCAAAGCTGCTGGAACAAAACAGAACAGGATAGAGGAATAAAGAGAGTAGAGGTGGAAGAGGAAGGGGCAAGATACACTATTACATATATTGATCATCTCAAAAACTCACTGCCATCGTGTCAATTCTGACTCATAGCGACCCTTATTGTGTTTCCAAGGCAGTAAATCTTTACAGAAGTAGATTGTCCCATTTTTTCTCAGAGTGGCTGGTGGGTTCGAAACACC